GCCCTCGGGACTCAACGAAATTATTACGAGGCAATCGTCGCCCCCTGCACACACACACACACACACGTCTTACTACACGGCCACGCAGGCAAACAGCAGCAGTATTAGTGGCACGCGCATCCACGCAGTGCTGCTGCTGCTTGCGTCGCTGTTGCGGCCAGGAGGCTTCACGCCCTCTCCCGCAGAGGTGGGAGTACCGGCATCAGTATTGGAAGCCCCTTCGGCGGTGGTCTCTGATTGAGGTGTGGCTGTGGAGGCAGTGTGATCGGCGCCATTCACTGTGACGGAGCTGTCTGTTTCTGTGCTCTCTGCCTCGCTGGAAGTCGGGGTGGAGAGGTCTTTGCGGGCAGCATTGCTCCTTTCACCATCAGTAACTTCATCATTTGGATTTGCGCTGTCGGTGGAGGTGCTACTTAATGGTGTGTCTGATTTCCCCGATGGAGTTTTCGCCTCAAGCGCCAGTTTGTCTGAATCTTGTTCGGCGGTATTATCCTCAGCTGGCGAATGCTGAAGTGTCTGAGAAATATCTTTACCGTTTGTATTCGTAGACGACGTACCTTGTTGTCCGCCGGAGCTTAAACTCCTGGAAGACGGGAGAGTTGGTCCGGCTGTAGTTGGCGGGGCGCAAGTAGCCACGACGTTCTCGACGATCTTCACATCGTACCCCGTTGGTACCTTCACTTCATGGCTTGGTGGCTCCGGAAGATTTACAGTGGCCTGGGAAGAAGCAGTGGACTTCACGCTGACATCATAGGTGATACTGTTGGTAGCTGTGACCTCTGAGCAGTTCGTAGCAGTGTTGGAACCAGCTCCACCTTGCTTCGTACACTCAAAAACGAGTGAAGTAGTCAGTGCTACGCTGGACCCATCGGGGACAGTGACTACCGTAGACGGTCCATTCGTAATTACTTTCGCCTCTTCTGATTCAACCTTCTTCTTGAAAGTAAACGTAGTGGAAATGGTAACATCCTTGGTTTCCCCAGCAGCCTGGGTGGACGATGGTGTGCATTTGCTTTTATCAACCGTCCGCGTCAGTGTTACCTTCGCGGCGCCATTACCAAGCTGCAATTCAGCTGTACCCTCAGGTGCAAGAGCAGCACCAGCCGCACACATAGATGTGCAGCAGCACAGCGCAAGGACCAACACGCAGAGCACGTGGCGCAGCATCAGCGTCAATGTAGCCTGGGACCACCTGTGTCTGCGGGGGAGAGGAGGAGCACAGCAGGTGGCACACA